ACTAGACTAGACTAGACTATAGACTAGACTATAGACTAGACTATAGACTAGACTATAGACTAGACTATAGACTAGACTATAGACTAGACTATAGACTAGACTATAGACTAGACTATAGACTAGACTATAGACTAGACTATAGACTAGACTATAGACTAGACTATAGACTAGACTATAGACTAGACTATAGACTAGACTATAGACTAGACTATAGACTAGACTATAGACTAGACTATAGACTAGACTATAGACTAGACTATAGACTAGACTATAGACTAGACTATAGACTAGACTATAGACTAGACTATAGACTAGACTATAGACTAGACTATAGACTAGACTATAGACTAGACTATAGACTAGACTATAGACTAGACTATAGACTAGACTATAGACTAGATTATAGACTAGACTATAGACTAGATTATAGACTAGACTATAGACTAGACTATAGACTAGATTATAGACTAGACTATAGACTAGACTATAGACTAGATTATAGACTAGACTATAGACTAGACTATAGACTAGACTATAGACTAGACTATAGACTAGACTATAGACTATGTACTAGACTATATAAACAAGGTTTTTAAGACTTATTTTCATGCAAAATTTGTTCTATAAACCTTTGATAAATTGTTTCCCAAATAATTTTAAACTTAGTTTCCGTTTCCTTTTTGTTTTTTTTTAATTTAAAGCAATTTATTAGAATAGGTTTTCGAAAAAAATACAAAATAAATAAAAATTTAAAGTTAAACTATTTAAAGTTAAACTATTTAAAAATATGACAAATTCTGTATTTAATGCAAAAATATTTCGTTTTGTTTTTATAAATTTAACATACATTAACTAACATATAGAATTTCCCATATGTATTAAAACAAATATATTACAAATTCCAAGAAAAATAAAATAAATATAAAAAAATTCATTGCAATAAATTGTGGCATAAACAAACGCTTATCTATTAGTTTTCTGTTTTTTTATTATTTATATTTATTTTTTAGTTATTTTAGCAAACTTATAAGTTTTATAAAATATTAAAATAGATTTTTTTGATAAATTGTTATTTATTTTCTCAAATAAAACCACACAAAAATCAAACCAAAACTTAATATACTTATATATATAGGTAATAATTTAAACAAAAATAGAGTTTAAATTACATACACACACATATAGAAATTATAGCTAAACTATACAAAATATGCAATAAATTTAACAAAATATATAAAATTTTTTATAATAACAAAAAATACAACAACAAGAAAACTAATACAAATACTACATACATCCTACTTACAATGTACATTTTCACAGTTGGACATATTATGGCTACATCGTCAACGGCGTCTATATCCTTGGTCCTTAACAGTCTGGTAGTTTATCGTTATATTTCATATTTCATTCATATTACCAAAAAAAAATACCTGTATTAGCTAACACACACACACACTCACTCATACTATAATACTTTTATACACAATTTTTATCCTTATAAATATTTACATAGTTTGTTAAAAAGTATTCATAAATTTTATACACTGAGTAGCGATAGATAATAGGTGAACAATTGCTTAAATTTGTGCTTTTGTTATTTAAAATTTAGTTTAAACATAAATAGTTAAATAACATATCTTAGTTAAGTGCCTAAGGGCCAAAAACTAATTCTTAAGTTTTTACAAAATAACACAATTTTCAGAAATTAAGTATTATTTTGATCTATTAAAATGATCCATAGAATCAGTCTTAAATGTTTTAGTACTATTAATTACTAAAAAGCTTAAAGTTTCTATATAGATATTCCCTTTTTATGGAAAAAGTACTTTTTATATATTTATTTAAATATATTTTTTGTAATTTCATAAAGTTTCACAGAAAAATTTTGCGATTTGGAAAAATATAAGCAAAATGTACTAAATATGTACTAAAAACTAAATATGTACTAAATGGGTAAAAAGACCCTTTTAGATATATATTAATTTTAATCCGAATAATATTCTTCTTTTTAGAACAAAAAGTACTAGTTTATAGTCCATAGACTATATTCAACATTTCGATAAAGGTACTAACTAGTATTTACCCATATACCTAAACACTTATAAACCAAATTTCATTAGACTTAATTGACGAATTAATAACAGAGCGATCAGACTGCAAATGGATATACATATCTATGTTTATTAAGATTTCCTTAGAACTATATTTTTTTTACTCTTTAGTACCCAAAACTTCATATTTTAGTGTAAACCTTCTTTTGGATCCACCTTAATATCCATAAATAAATACTATATATATTCATAAATCATATAAAATCAAATATTATATAGTATGTATATGCAAACCTATAGTTTATAAAAATATGAATATTATTAATAATATCCTTTAAAGACTAACCCCCTTATTCATAAACACAATTTTATTTTATCAACGATTTATAAATCAAATTTCGTATGAAAATTTTGTTTTATAAACCTTTTATAAAATAAAATGTTGTTTATGAATAAGTGGGTTAAAGTAGATTTTTAAAGTAAAACAGATTTATCTGTATAGAAATTATATATTTAAATTTATCCCATAATTTTCTCATATTTAAATTTATATTAAAGTTTTCATTTGTCATATCAAAAAATATACATATATAGAGATTCTGAAGACGTAAATTATTCACTGAAATTTCCAGCAAATCCATCAAGTACATAAACTATTGCAGAGACTAGTCAATAGATCAGTCCATATATTAGATATTAAACATTCCATAGACTTATTCACATACTAGGTAAAATACTAGTCCATAAACTAGTTTAAATACTAGTAAATATATTAGTCCATAGACTATTCCTTAGACCAGTCAATAGACTGGTCTTTATACTAGTCTATAGACTAGCCCATACCCTAGTCAATAGACTGGTCCATACACTAGTGCATAGACTATTCAATAAACAGCCCATTGATCTGTCCATAGACTAGCTCATAGACTAACACTTAGGCTAGTCCATCGACTAGTCAATAGCCTAGTTCATAGACTATTCAATAGATAGTCTATAGATTAGCCCGTAGACTAGCCCATACACTAGTCAATAGACTAGTTCATAGATTAGCCCATTGACTACTCCATAGACTAGGCCATACACTAGTCATAAGACTAGTCCATTCATTAGTCAATAGACTAGTCCATACACTAGTCAATAAACTAGTCAATAGATTAGTATATAGACTAGTTCGTTGGCTAGTCAATAGACTAGTTCATAGATAGTCCACAGATTAGTCAGTAGACTAGTCCATATACTTGTCAATATAGTCCATAGACTAGCCCATACACTAGTCAATAGACTAGTTCATAGACTAGCTCATTCACTAGTCAATAGACTAGTCCATAGACAAGTCAATAGACTAGTTCAAAGACTATTCAATAAATAATCTCTATATTAGTCAATATAGTCCATATACTAGTTCGTTGGCTAGTCAATAGACTAGTCAATAAGCTAGTCCATAAATTAGCCCATACACTAGTCAATAGACTAGTACATACACTAGTCAATAGATTAGTTCATACACTAGTCAAAAGACTAGTATATAGCCTAGTCATTAGAATAGTTCATATAGAATTATACTATATAATAGTCCATTGATTAGTCAATATAGTCCATAGGCTAGTTCATAGACTAGTAAATAAATTAGTCCATCGATTAGTCCATACACTAGTCAATAGACTAGTCCATACACTAGTCAATAGAATAGTCCATACACTAGTCAATACGCTAGTCCATAGACTATTCAATAGATAATCCATAGATTAGGCAATAGACTAATACAATAGTCAATAGACTAGTCTATGATCTAGTGTATAGTCTTAATTAATATATGAATAAGTATATTGACTATTTTCTCTAATATATAAACCAATATATTGACTAGTCTATGGACTATCTATGAACTAGTCTATTGACTAGTCTATGGACTTGTTTAGTAACTAGTCTACAAACTAGTCAATAGACTAGTCCATAGACTAATCATTATACTAGTCAATAGACTAGTTCATAGAATAGTCAATGGACTAGTCCATAGACTAGTCAATAGACTTGTTCATATACTAGTCCATACACTAGAAAATAGACTAGTCCTTAGACTAGTTAATAAACAAGTCCATAGTCTAGTTCATAGACTATTCCATAGATAGTCCATAGTCAATAAATTAGTCAATAGTTTAGTAAATCTAATTCGTTACTATTTCCATTTAAAAAAGAAAAAGTACTCTTTTTAAAAAAATTTAATTCTAGAATGAACCGGAATCGATTATGTTAACAAAACCTCTATAGATTTTTCAAAACCCTGCTACTACTAACTAGCTATTTTATTGACCTCGTTGTGATTCCCAAATACTTTTAAAGGACTTTCTAAAGAACATTTCTTTATCACAAACTAATTTTGAATAAAAGCATTATAAAGCATTAGATTGTGTGCAAGCGGAACCACTTATGATTCTTCAACAATAATACAACAACCATATTATAACTAATGAAGTAGCCAATACTCTATGGAAAATTGTTGTCATTATAAAATTTATTGAAATTAGCTTATTGTCCCTGATGTTTTTCATGAATTTTTATAAAAAGATAACTTTCGAAATATATATTTAAGGCTGTAAGAAAGACATTCGATTAATTTTAACACCTTTTTTGGAACACATTTATTTCATCTACATAAAATTAACACATAATTTAAAAATTAAATAAAATGCACGAATTTATAGTAATTAATAGTTTTTAGCCATTAATTATTTTTAATTTTAATCTATTTAATAAATACTATTTAGTAGTGGCTAACACAAACAAACAAAATTATTTAAATAGCATTTTATATAATTATAAAGTAAATATTTATTTAAACACATATTTTATGAAATATAATACCATAGTTAAGTTGTTAAATAATTACTAATAATTTTAAAAATTTTTATTTTATTTCTCTCTCTTTAATGCCCCGCCCCCTTGTAGGAGGAATATTGATGATGATGAAACCACCGTGTGAAAAATTAATAATAATGTTATGAAAATAAAGACATAAATCTATACAACTATTTATGTTTTAACACATAATGTATCCTGTAAACAACAATAATATGTAATAAAAATGGTAATAACGGAATTTTAATAGACAACCAAGCAACCAACCCAAAACCTATAAAAAACCACTTTGAACAGATTTCAAAAAAAAAAAATCCTATTAAAATGTTTTTCCATCAAACAAAGAAAAAAAATCTTCTATTTAAAAAAAAACACGCGCCATATTGTATGTATGTAAGTTAAACAAAATGATATTTGGTAAAAAAATATATATTTAAATAATTTAACAAACAAAAAACTGTTATTTGTATAAAAAATTGAAATAAAAAACAACAATACAAAACCAGGCAAATAATACAGAAAATAGAAAAAATATAAATATTGATGTAAAAATAATACAGAGTATATTTAACAAATATTTATATTTATAAATAAAATTACTTATGAGGGATTCAAAAAAAAAAAAAAAGAAATCAAATAAAACATATAAATAGCATTTGCTGCAACAGATTTAATGAAAGAGAATAATTTAAAGCGAAAAAAAAATATATTAAAAAAATATTTATTAACAAATCATGTGAAAAACACACATAAAAACAACAAAAACAACAAATAGACATTCAAGACAAATAAATAATTATTTATGCATAAAATCGTAAAATTAATATGAAACAAAAAAAAAAACTTTATATGTAGTTACAAGTAATTAGATAGAGATGTTTATTAAAGAAGAAAAAAAAATATATTAACAAATAAATAAATATATAATAAAATGTTGTTAAACAAATGTTTATAAACATATAGTGTTGCGAGAGAAATTGTAAGAGTGAGAAACGTTGAATCCATTAACATTAACCTTAAAGAATTATCTAAAAGCAGAGCTAAGCAAAGAGCTTTGTTAATGACTGTTCAGTGGACTGTAATACTAATTGATCTATTGACTAATCTGTGAACTATCCTATTGAATAATCCATGGAACGGTTTATGATCTAGTCTAATGATAAGTCTATGAACTAATACACTGACTAATATGTTGACTAGTCTATGAACTAGTCTATGAACTAGTGTACTGACTAGTCTATGAACTAGTGTACTGACTAGTCTATGAACTAGTGTACTGACTAGTCTATGAACTAGTCTACTGACAAGTCTATGAACTAGTCTACTTACTATTCTATGGACTAGTCTAGTGACTAGTGTATGAACTAGTCTACTGACTAGCCCATGAACTAGTCTACTGACAAGTCTATTAACTGGTCTACTGACTAGTCTATGAACTAGTCTACTGACTATTCTATGGAATGGTCTATTGACTATTCTATGGACTAGTCTATTGACTAGACATTTCGCTGGTCTATGAACAAGTCTTTAGACTAATCTACTGACTAGTCTATGTAATAGTCTACTGACTAGTCTACTGTCTAGTCTATTGGCTACTATTTTGACTAGTCTATAGATTAGTCTATTGTCTAGACAATATACTAGTCCATGGACTATGTAAAAGACTACTCCATAGAGTAGTCAATAGATTAGTCATTGCCGAGTTCATCGATTGTTGTCTACTAGTCTATGAACTAGTCTACTAACTAGTCTATGAACTATTCTATGGACTTGTCTACTGACTAGTCAATGCACTGGTCTATGAACAAGTCTTTAGACTAATCTACTGACTAGTCTATTGACTAGCCCTTTGACTAGTCTATAGATTAGTCAATATACTAGTCCATGGACTATTTAAAAGCCTATTCCATAGAGTAGTCAATAGATTAGTTCATTTCCGAGTTCATTGATTATGTCTACTAGTCTACTGACTAGTCTATGAACTAGTGTACTGACTAGTCTGTGAGCTAATCTACGGACTATTCTTTGGACTTGTCTATTGACAAGTCAATGCACTGGTCTATGAACAAGTCTTTAGACTAGTCTATGTAATAGTCTACTGACAAGTCTATTGACTAGTACTGTCTAGTCTATTGACTAGCCTATAGATTAGTGTACTAATTAGTCTATTGACCAGTATATGAACTAATCTATTGGCTTGACTACTAGTCTCTAGACTGATCTATTTACTAGACTATTGAATAGTCTACTGACTAGTCTATTGACTAGTCTTTGGAGTAGTCTACTGACTAGTCTATAAACTTATGTACTGACTAGTCTATGAACTAGTCTACTGACTATTTTAAGGACTAGTCAATGTACTAGTCTATGGATTAGACTGTTCTTTACTAGTCTATGGATTAGACTGTTCTTTACTAGTCTATGGTCTAGACTTTGGACTAATTTAATAACTGTCTACTGTCTAGCGTTTAGACTAATCTACTGATTAGTCTTTGAACTGATCTGTTGACTAGTCGTTGTACTACTCTACTAACTGGACTGACTAGTGTATAGTGTATTATTTTGACTAGTCTATTGACTATTCTTTTGACTAGTCTATAGATTAGTCTGCTAACTAGTCTGATGACTAGTTTATGAAACTAATCTATTGACTAGACTACTAATCTATGGACTAGTCTATGGACTACTTATAGACAAGTCTACTGCCTGGTTTTTTGGACTGATCTACTGACTAATCTATGGACAGATCTAGTCTATGGACTAGTAGGTAAACTACTCTACTGCCTACTGACTAATGTGTAGACTAATCAGCTGACTAGTCTATAGAATTGACTATTGACTAGTCTATGGACTTGACTATGGCTAGTATATTTACTTGTCAACTAACCTATTTTACTATTCTATGGTCTACTCCACACTATTGACCGATCTAAAGACTAGTCTATGGAGTAGTCTACGTACTAGACTATTGGATAGTCTATGGAATAGTCTAGTGACTAGTCTATGGATTGGTATTCAGACTGGTCTACTGAATAGTGTATTAACTGTTCTTTTGACTAGCCTATGAATTATTTTACTGGCTGGTCTATTGACCAGTCTATGGTATAATCAATGTAATATTCTTTGGGACTATGTCACAGTTCTATGAACAGTTATTGATTAGTCTATTGACTAAACTCTTGATTAATCTCTGAACTAGTATAATGACTGGTCTACTATGAAGTCTGTTTAGTAGTCTACATACTAGTTTATAGACTAGTCTGTTTACTATGAACTAGTTTAGACTAGTCCATGTTCCTCTCTCTCTCTCTCTCTCTCTCTCTCTGGTCTCGAAACAATGTCTCAATAATATGTATATTTAAACAATGTATCTAAACTAATATGGTTTATAAACAAAATTGCTTTAACTTATGTTGCTACAAACTGCTATTAACATTTTAAAAAATAAAAACAAAACATATAAAATACAGTGGGTTTAAAGGAAACAAATTATTATTAAATTTAAAAAAAACACAAACAAATTTCACAAAAATATTCAGTTTTTTTTAAACAAAAATTTATGTAAATATTACTTTAGTTTAGAGAGAAAACAATAAGGTATTAATATTTAATTATAATATAATTTAAGTACATTTTAATTTAGAATACAAAAATATATATTTTTAA